TCCCCCCCCCCCCCCCCTTGTGTAGTTTTCTGTTTGCATTCAGTGTGTTTTCCACAGATTCACAGCTGGGTGCTGGTTCTGTGAGCCTGTTAGCATAAGGGGGAAAGAACTGGAAAATGAATTTTGCATGTTTGCAGTTCTTTGTCCCTGGCTGAGGAACGGTGAGGAAACGCGTAGGCTGACAATTAGTCAAGCAGTCTTAGCATTACCTGATTGTCCCCAGCTTGATTTCAAGTTCCAATGCTGATTAATGGGGAAGGGTGGGATTTAGCAGGGAAGTCAGGGAACTATTTTTTGTCCACTCACACCTTCCATGAGCTTCCTTTTGGCATTGGAGCCTGGTGAGGTTCTCCCCATCCACCCTCCTTTACACCTCCTGATTTCCCTGCAAGCTGGTTTGTTTTTTTGCAGACAAGACAAAGTGGTTTGCCTGTTTCTGCCCCTCAGATGGCTCCAGTGTGTTCCTCCTAACACAGGAATGGGAATATTAAATCCGTGATAATATCACATCCATGGATCAGGGCTTCTGCAACATTCCAGTCAGATTCCAACCTCCCAGCTGTGTGAGATGGCTGAATGAACTGTGATGCAAGAAGGGCTCTTGAGTTACTTTCCTCTTCTGAAATACTTTTTTGAAAAGGCTTTTATTTGCTTTTGTAGAGGGGTTATGTTATGAATTAAATAGACCCTCTGAAAAGCCTGGCTTTGAGAAGGAACCTCCTCAGAACAGAAGTTTCCTGATTGGCAATACAGCAGATAAAAGAGGTTTGTTTGGGACAGCCAGCAGTTGCCACTGCAACATTTCTGAAGTACCTGTAAATGTACTTGCAATTGTAAATACTCTGGAAAATGCTTGTATGTTGTGTTTTATAACAGAAAAACACAAAACTCCTGGCGTGAACGTTAGCTTTTGGCATGGAAATGAAAACTCCCTCAAAACCAGGGAAAGCAGATGAGCATAAGAATTTTTTGCCTGAATTTATTTTTAGCTTTCTTTCCACTGAAATAACTGTTTCATATGGCATCTGTAGCTATCTCTAAAGGAAGAGCTACTCTGGTATTTCCTCCTTCCCCATGAAAATCTCTTACTTGCAACGGGAATATTCCATTTCACTGGGCACCAGGAAAACCATAACCTTTTCCCTTCAAAGCCATGTGTGTGTGGTTGATGTCTGCAATATTCTGCATGGCTTATGGACAAGCTATTGATTTCCCTCTGCTGCACTTGCTCTTAAGAGCAAATCAATGAGACCCTTTTCAAAAGGTAAATGAGAATGTTTTGACTGCCAGTGATTCTTTTTTATTCTGCATTTCCAAATTGTTCTTTGCAGGCTACCAGGCCAGTGCCCATGAAAAGATTCCTCACTGTGCTGTTGGTCTGCCTTTGTCAGTTCAAAATACTATTTATACCACAGCAAGGCCACATTGAATTCAGAATTTCTCCACTGTAAATGGCAAGCTGTTCTTCATTGTTTTAAAATTTTAAACATCAATTTTGTAAGCCATTTTCTTGGGAGTTGCTTTACTTTCCCTGTTTGGTTTTTTTTTTCTATTTTAATATTATAGAAACAAAAACTGCTGTTATCTTTGTGGTGTTATCAGGATTCACTGCATCTTGCTTTTCCCCCAAGATTTATCATCCTTTCTGTTTCTATTTCTGAATATGACTACTCAGTTTCTTAGTGTTACAGCAATTAGGTAGTAAAAGAGCAAAAATAGCAAAATATCTGCGTTCCATTCTTTGCATAAGGAACTTCCTGTGCTGTGAATGCAGCTGAGACCCAGCATCAAATAAGGCCTGAAGAACAGCAAGAGTTGCCAAGTTCTGAAGTGTTATACATTCCTTTTTGTCACTTTTCCCTGGTTTGGGCTGTCATAGGAAAAGGAAATGTATTAGTTATTCAGTGCAAAAATCTGTCACTTTTAAGTGATGGAAATAAATGCAGGAAAAGTGAGTTTTTTAAAAATCACTTTCCTCTTGTTCCACGTTACCCTGGCACTTATTACTGTATAGAATATTTATGAATTATTAGGCATTGTTTCCATTGGTGCCATGCCTGGGAACTCTAGTTATGGATAAGAACCCCCCCCGTGCCAGGTGCTGTGCAAAGCCAGAGCAGTTCAGATTCCAGAGATTTACAACCAGCACCAAAGTCAAAGGCAATAACAGAATGAGATGTTGCAGGGATGGAACGTCAGATAACGAGATATTTTTGATCAACTTGGAAGCCAGTGGTTTCAGCATTCCATTTTAGGCATTACCAAGTTGTGATGGAAAACACACTTTAGTACTCCATTCAGTTAATAAAGCTTTAACACAACTTGTTTATGTTAATAACTCTGGTTGACTTCATTCTCTGTATTGTGACTGTGTTTTTAGAATAGCACATGTACCTGTAGAGCTGCAGCAAAAGCCCATGCAATAAATTAACTTGGGGTCAAATCCTCCAGAAATTATTCCAGAAGGGACTTTTCAGGGTTTGATGTGCTGTGACATCCAGCAGCAATACTGCTAAAACCAGCTTAAATAATCCTCTCCTCCTCCCCAGCTGTGTGTTTCTATTCCTGTCCCAGGCCTGCACTGGATAGCCACGAGCATTTGGGCAGCATGTTGGGAACTCAATGTGCAGATGCAGAATAACCTACGAAAGCACTGTTTATGAAACTGGACCCAAATCACAGTGACTGGAGTAGCAGTGCACTTACCTGTCCTTACTGAACAGAACCCTGAAATCTTAGGGTCAGGACTTGCTTTAGTGTCACTCACTCTGCATTGCCAAGCAGACCCTGATCATGTCCGTGTTACAAATCCACCAAAACCAGCCTTGCCTACCCTGGGAAGCAGTGCTGTGGAATAGCAAAGGATGTGCAGGAGTAAACAGCTGGCACTGAGGATGCAGCTCCTGAACTATCCCCGTTCCAGGGGCTTTATTTAAGCTTAGCTCTAGTTTGTCCTACAGACCCCTTAGCAACTGCAGCACACCAGCACAGAGCTGGTGGCTGAGGAGGTGACGGTTTTAACACTGGCAGTGAAGCTATTCTGTCAGACAGCTGCGCAGTCAGACAGACAGAGCCATAACAGAACCTCCCTGACACACCTGCCCAAGGGTCTCTGGCAGAACTCTGTTTGCAGAACCTCAGCCCCCATGTAACACTGCATTTACACTGCATTTACACTGCATTTACACTGCATTTACACTGCAGATACTCCCCTCAGTACTTAGGAGAGGAGCAGGGATGGATGACATCTGAAGAGTGACACTGAACCCTTCCCTCCCCAGAGCAGAATCTCTGGCTTCTAGGCAGTCATTTAGGTCAAAAAGCACTTACCAGCTT